CTACATTGCATGAACCTGCTCCTCCCTCAAGACAAAAAGTTCATGATCTCCAGCACCACTGTGTGCATAAACAGATTTTTCAATACTATGTTAATTCTAGGTAATACAAAGATCACAGACTAGGGGGTATTAAATGCAGGTTTACCTCTGTGAGGAAAAGGAATAGACATATATAATTTAAATCCTAAATCCAGTTTTTGACTAAAATTACCATAGAAATGTGTGTTTTGTTCATTTTGATATGAAGTAAATGGATAATCACAACTGTGAAAAAATACTTTTGTGGCTAGTAACATATTCAGTTTTGAAAATGAAAATACTTATCAAAGTATCCATAAGTATTTTAAATAAAAAATAAGACATATAAAAATGTGCTAGAATTATACACCTTTCTAGCTCAGAGCAGGTGCAACTATTGTCAACATCTTCCTCACTGGTACTTTTTCTTTTCAATTCAAAGGTTTGCATACAAGGCTTCTGTGAATGGATTTTTCAGCGTGTTCTGGATCTACCCTTATAAACACTCAAATAACTTTCTCCAACTCTGCTTCTAAAGCTTCTCATCCTAGTCAAGCTGCCCACATGTTTACAGAATTAAGCCCTCGGTATAGACGCAAATACACGTGGCTAAATGAGATTTGGCTACCTATCTCACAATGCGGCATTCTGTATCAGACAAAGCAACAAGGAAAGGTGGCATTCTCCTGTGTGAGCTGTAAGTACCAACCACCACACCACTTAATAGGCTTATTTTATTTACAGCATATATTTAAAGTCTTCAATGCAAGTTTCTTTCAAATGATGAAAGGCTGGTAAATTCTTAAAATATAATAATTAGCAGTGCAGCAGTTCTTTGATGGTCTGTAATTACCAAACTGTCCACTATTTGAGCGACAGCAGCAAAATACCACTCACCATTAGTTTATTTTTATTTATAACTTGTACTTTGGGTAAGAATCCATTAATTACAAGCAAAACAAATCGCTTACCCGAAACACTTCCCACAGAGGCTTTTTTTTTTACATGCATTAATCTAGCTGGGATATACATGACATTTTAAATGGAGGTTAAACTGATGTAAATAAATGCAATTATTTGAAAGCAAACAGGATTCAGTCATATTTATTTCTGCATGGGATTACCATATGTTTTCCCCTGACATGTATTGTGAACAAACACCGAACCACAGGAATCCAGAAGGCTGGAGAATTTAAAACTTCTTACTGACGTGAAATTTGACGATATGGCACTGTACTCTTAATTTTATGATTTGCCTAAGGTAACATCTTGTGTAACTGTTTTTAAAATAATTACCCATAGAACCGCCTAAGGTACAGGGATGGAGAAAGGTTTGAATTTCACAGAGCTTTCTGCTTTCCTAATAAAAAGGTATATTTGAGCCCCACACACCTGAGCCCTGCACACAGGAGAGCTGCTGATCCTGACATGGCAGCAGGGCCACAACATCCCCCCCACCCTGGGAGCATACCAGTATGGCCACCATTATGGGTCTCCCCTGGGGAAAACCACACCACGGGCAGCCTGCAGTGCCCACTGGCACTCACCCCACAGACCCTGACCCCATTCCAGGGACCTGTCTTCAGCCAAGCGCGTGACCACACCACAGCCCTCAACCACCTCAGTGTCCGCCATAGCAACAGTGCTCCTTCCTGCTCTTCTCCACAGGCACCATGTAATGTCACCCATCCCACTATTGCCCTTCCCTGCCTCACACCCACCTCCTGCCTCTGGGCCAGCTGCGCTCCACCTCCACTGACTGTTTTCTTCCAGTACTTTCATCAGAGTACTGCCTCCACCTGAGAAGAGCCACCTGGGCCTCTGCTCTGGCTCCTCGCAGCCATCGTGTGGCAGTGACTGCACCACCTCAAGCTCCTCTGAGAGGAGGCAGCAGTGGACAGCCTCATCCACACCCAACTCTTCTTCACCAGCCCCTCACACTGAGCAGCAGCCCCTCACAGCAGCCCCCTCTTGCCAGCACAGTTCCCAGTGCATCGGGCTGCCATGGCAGGGAAATGGCAGCGGCTGCCTGCAGACTCCAAGAGGCACATAGAGTGCTGCTGCAGCAGCCCAAAACCACCAGCTTGTGACATGAGAGTAAGTATTCTGTGCACATATATGTGCATGTGAACATAAATCATCTGTGCAATACCATTTCTTTGTATCTTTCTTACAAAAATTTGTCAATTTCTGTGTAAGCAAAACCTGGCTGTCACCAAGTAATGCAAAATGAAGTTACCCTGATATAAGGCCAGACCCACTTCAAAGGCAATAATCAAACAAAAAGACACGCCAAAATTAATAACCGCAATCTCACAACCTTGTAAAAAGGATTTGAATTTCAAAAGCGAATTTGTAAAGTTTTTGTTTGCTTTTCTCATACTCTGTGTCGCTTCAGTTTTGCTACTGTGGAGCAGCCCTCAATGCAGCTCTTTGAAACAAAGAAGAGTGAAAAATCACCGTACACCCGGGGCGATGCTGAGGAGCCGCCAAATTTTCATGCTGCAGGCACTGGGCAGCCCAATCCTGCTTCTGCTGCAGACAAAAAGGGAAGGGGGGTGCCAGCCGTGTCACTGGCAGCAAGATCAAGCTGCCCGCAGCAGCAAGGTTTCGCAAACCAGTTAGGTGGTATGATAAAGACTCTGGGACACAGTGATCTTATTGTACTCGGCAAGGACAAAAAAACCCACCCATTCAATGCACCAAGTCAGCCACTGTTTCTGCCTTTGCACAGGTCTTCTGGAGACTGTTTAAAATTATATATAAATATGAAATGTAAAATATGAGTTTGTATTTCAAATTAAAAAAAAAAAAGAATTACACTCTGCTGATTGCAGCTAATGTTCTATGCAACAAAACAAAAAAAAAAAGAGTATCAATAAAAACTAGTTAATAATATAAAAATATAAAGCCAAATAATTAACCTTCTATGCGCTGACCAGTGATCTTCACAATGTTTGTTTCAAAGAGCACAGTTAGGAGCAATTGCAAAAGGAACAACCTTTCTGTAATCAAACCAATGCAGGGACTTTGTTGCCTTCCAGCACCTTTAGGAAGGCATTGACTGTTCTTCCAACTTTTGTATCAATGCAGAGGCATAAGCATGACCCTGTCATATTCCTGCTCTGTTGCAGAGGTTACCCAGTGGGTAGGGGTGCTGGGCTCCCAGAAGCAGTTTCCTGTGAGGCTAAATCTCACATGTATGTGCAGCAGCATTACGGTGTAAGGGCTAGTCACAGACACAGTCTGGCCCATATAATCCGTTAACCCAGCCAGAGATCAATTCCTGGGAGAAGTCTATCCCAGTTTTTAAGAATGACTTTATCGCCAGCATTGTAAATCTAGCAATAAACTGTTGCGAAACTCTATCCTCCCTCACATTTAAAAGACCTTTGCAGAAAACAGATCTTGGGGGATAGGGAGGCACAGGGACATCTACCTCCAAATATTGTAAAGAGGAGCTTTTCTACCTGGGACTAAGTACACATTTTTGTATTTTTGACTATTTATGTAAGTAGAACATTTTTTGAATGTTATTTTTACCATTATTTGGATAAACCATAGCTTTGTACGGTCACTTCCAAACACATAGGCAGGAATATCTTTGTCATAGTTACATATGATCGTCAGGCATACATATTTATAACTCTCCATTTCCTTGTATGCTTCACACAAATAGATGCTCAGTGCTTGTCATGTTACGTGTCTTTCAGATAGCAAGAACAAAAGAAAACCAGCAAAGAAATAACACAAAAAATCCTTTTAAAAATCTAAGCTCAAAATGTAAAATATAATGTTCAGGCATTTATTGGTAACAACCACAAAGTTGAAGGCAGTGAGATTAAGCTATGTTTTGCTTTCCTCATGCTTATGAATACAGTATGATAGGTGCCATGTGAATGGGGGGAAAATTATTTAAATTTAACATTATTCTTTGGGTAAGTATATTTTGTACTGATAGAATAATTAAAAAAGCAGTCAGTTTTACCTTTATAATGAAATTCTAGTGTGTAGGAGCTCTAGTGAGAGGCTAACCTCCATTTCTTTGCTCCAGTTACATGAACCCGGCCAGGGTCGCAAGCAGTTATATATACCCTGTCATATGGCACAAGGGTCAGTATCTACTAATTCCAGTGGCTACTGTTACAATATTCAACCACCAAAAGTTTCAGATCAGTAGTTGAAAGTTTGAGACATTTATGAGTGAGAACAGAGGCTCCTAATTTAAAACGTGTGTGACCTTAATATAGCATTTGGGGGTTCAGAATGTTCTTACGTACTTTGCCTAATTCCACAGTTTTACAATACCCCCTCACTTCCAGTCGTAAAACTATGGATTGATTTACCTTATCTGTAAATTATGAAGAATAGCTCTCTGATGAAAGCAAATTTCCATGACTATTTGAAGCAGTAACAGGCCAAATAGTTTTCCTTAATGCAAAAGCAGAATAAAAAGAACCCGTGTCTACCCCTTAATTCCAGCCATGAGTTAGCATTTTTCACAGATGTGTATATTTCTCATAAAGTACTATAAATCAGAATGATTCTGTACTTGTCAATGATAGCTCTGTTTATGTAAAATAATCTTATAACAGGACACCAGAATAATCTATCTTAATCAAAGACAGATTTATATCCATACGGTCCAGTTATTCACAGACTGCAACAAAACATATAAAAATGTAGATCTGACACCGCTTTAAGTCTTGCATACACAATTGCCTTCTTCATGTGTGATATAAGAATGAAAAACTACCACCTACTCCTGCTCCCACTGAAATCAGGGACACATTTCTATCTACATCACTCACAGCTGGATGACAGATCAAAACTTGGTGTCCAGCTTTGAAAAGCTACTTAAAAACAGGTATCATATGTATTTGGCTAACTCTGATTTTTCCACAACTTATTGGGAATATCACTTTATTCATAATTAGCCCAAAGAATTAAAACAAAACTCAGAAAAGTATGGACATGCACAGTATTTTCCATAATTTCCATAATTCCATCCATAAGTTTTTCCACAATTACAGCTCAGAGTACAAGAATCCAACTCAGAAACCTGGCACATCTAACAATTTTCATTAGGAAATTACTATATAAATGGCAGTATGACATAGAAATGGAAGACCTGTACCCTGTGATATATCTCTGGTGGGAATTTGTATGTTACCAATTTGCAGTATTTGGAGCAAAATCTTTATTTAATCATGTGTACCCTTTCTGAAGCCAAAACTCAGTGCACCTACAGTAATATAACTATAAAACTTGTGATCGAACATGACGAAACCTTCAGCCCTTATACAGCCAAAAGATCCATTATTTACACTATGATTTTGTCTAAGGTTCTCACTCATACTGTTTCAGCAATATTAATAAATGAACTGACGATGAAATCATTAAAGAAACAAAGTAACATATTTTTAATAGCATGCAAAAGTTCAATGGGGATAACTTACCTAGTCATGGTTTTGTATCAATGTCAAAGAAATTTTAAAATAGTAAGGTAAATTCAAGAACAATTTGAATTCTTTATACAGATTCTGCTTCAGACAAAAGCAGTTCCATTTTACCCGAAGTATAAAAACAACAATAAACTTATAGTGAGACAGAACAGCACAATAACTCAAGAAAATTAATGCCATGAGCAGTTTTTCCTCTCTTTTTGACTGCAGTGGTCAACAAAATAAATTAAGAACAACAAAAGAGAATCAATGCAAAGGCCTAGAGAGTAACTCCAATTTTTTAAACTATTAATTTTGTGCTTGGTGTCAAAGGCAATGACAGTAAGCGCTGAATAAATACAAAACTTCTTTGGGATTGCTTGCTTTTTTTTTTCCCAAGATGAAAAATGCACTGGCTTGGAATGTTTATTTGAACCAGCTGTATGGTATTACTATAGAGAGTCAGGAAGTTAATATATTCTTTGGAAGTCCAGTATCATAACAAGTTATTCTAGCAGGCACAGTGAATGAACAGAGGACGCGCAATGTGATTTGGCAGCCTAAGCACAGACTCCGCATACACTCCTAAATTCAGGCTATGCAGCAGCTGTAGTTTACCAGCACTGGGTCTTACCCATAATTTGAAGACTGAATGGTAGAAAGAGGGAGGAATCAGAATTAAATCAACATTTCCTACCACATGTGATGGGACTGATCCTCCCTGAAATAACTGAATGAAATCTTCTGACTCAGATCTGTCACACAACAGGATCAGGGTCATCATGTACTGCACCTCTTTTTATTCATTATAGTATATTATTCTGGGCATTTGTCTCCTGTGATTTATGCAACCAAGTCCTCATTGCTATAGTGTTAATGCTACAGGAACATGTTGTGATATGAAGCACTGGAAAATCAAAGGAATCTCTGTTTTGACAGAAATTTCTATGGCAAGCTGATGTGCCTGGTTTATAGGGAAGGAAAGGCATATATTCAGATATTCCAGTTAAGAACAGCCATGAAATCTGTTTATGTTCTGAATCTCTCTTGTAGAAATATTGATGGTGAAATCTTTCATACCACTACAATCAATCTCTCTGTAACTATTTAATAGCTATGCTGAGGCTAATCAAATTATTCTCATAATCAGGGATAAAATACAACACATTTTGCAATCTATCAAGTAGAAGATCACTTACTTGTACTATTAGTGTCTAAAGATTGTAGAGGTTGAGTCTGGCTGTATGCCAGGTGCCCATCAAAGCTGCTCTATCACTGCCCCTCCTCAAATGGACAGGGGAGAAAAAATATAACAAAAAGCTTATGGGTTGAGGTAAGGACAGGGAGAGATCACTCAGCGATTACCATCATGGGCAAAACAGACCTGGGGTAAAAATACAATTTAATTTATTACTGACCAGACTGGAGCATGAGCAGCGAACCCAAATTCGCCTTCCAGGGAAGGAACACCTTCCCCTCACCCTTCGCTTCTTACTGGGCTCAACTTTAGTCCTGAATTCTCTACCTCCTCCCCACAGTGACGCAGGGGGACGGGGAATGGGCCTGTGGTCAGTTCATCACAACGTTGCCTCTGCTTCCCACGTGGGTCCCTTCCATGGGTGCAGTCCCTCAGGAACAGGCTGCTCCATCGTAGGTCCCCTGTGAGGTGACAAGTCCTGCAGCAAACCTGCTCCAGTGTGGGCTTCTCATGTGGTCAGACCCTCCTTTGGCACACACCTGCTCCAGCGTGGGGTCCTTCCTGGGCTGCAGGTGGAAATCTTCTCCACTGTGGACCTCCATGGCTGCAGGTGGAGATCTCCACCCTGGATCTCCATGGGCTGCAGGGGCTTAGCCTGCCTCACCATGGTCTGCACCACGCACTGCAGGGGACTCTCTGCTCCAGCGCCTGGAGCACTTCCTCCCCTCCTTCTGCACTGACCTTGGTGTCTGCAGAGCTGTTCCTCTCCCATGTTCTCACTCCTCTCTGGCTGCAATTGTGCATTTTCTTTTCCCACATTCTTAACTATGTTATCCCTGAGGCATGACCACCATCGCTGATGGGATCAGCCTTGGCCAGCAGCAGGTGCGCCTTGGAGCTGGCTGGTGTTGTCTCCATCAGACATGGGGTAAGACTCTGGAAGCTTCTCACAGAAGCCACCCCTGTAGCCCCCCGCTACCAAAACCTTGCCATGCAAACCCAATACAAAGATGAACTGCAATGCTTCATTAATATTAATTTTATGATATGGAGTCTAAACCAAATTAAAGTTAGTGCTGAATTTCAAGGCTAGATGTATATTTTTATGGCAAGACAATGAAGGAATTTAAGTTATGACACTGCAGCCTCTAGAAATAATAGGGTAAATTAAAGTTACCATAACAGATGTTTTGAAGTCTGCATTCCCTTACTCTGTCTAATGTTGTCACAATCTTCTGGTTGCCTAAATATGGATTATTGTTATCAGCCATATCCCATCATCCTTAGGCAACTTTCCCAAAAAGGGAAAGGGGAATTTTCTTTGAGTGACAGATGCAGAATAGTGACAGATGCAGAATTCACCGGGTTTTATCCTCTGTCTGCCATGTAAAATACAATGTGGAACAGTTCTGAAACACCTCTTCTTTGCAGACAAGGACAAAAGCCTCTTCCACAGAATACCACATTTCGCCTTTGTAGAGCAATATATATGTTAAAAATTAAGTGAGATCTTAGAATGTGTAAAGAATCTGAATTCATTTATGCTTAAAAATGGTTTATGCTTAAAAATGGTTTATGCTTTAGGCTACTGTATTTTCACTTTCTTCAAGTTACACAAACAATTTCTTTTCCAAAATATGAACACAGACACATCATAGTTTAGTTAATTTGTCTATCCATTAAATATAAAACAAAATACAAAACTGTTATTCACTGGTGTAATTGACACAGCTACATAGATCCCAACAGGGCTTTACCAGCTTGTGCTAGGGGATACTTCAGCACATAATATTAGTCTAATATGTTGTCCTGTAAATGACAGATTAAGTGAACAAATACTCTGGTATGTGATTACATTTTAAAATACATATTCTCTACCTGATGTAACAACTCTTCTTAAGTTAATTAGGTATTTTACTATGCTCACAGGCTATTTAAAAACTGGACTAGATAACACTTTTGGGTAGAGAACGGGATATTCTAAATTTTGCCTTTTTTTTTTTCCTCAGAGAGTTGTAATGTACTGCTACTATATTAATGTAAATAATTAGATTACTGCCATAAAATGCATGCTTGACTTCATTTCTATATGCAAAATCCTTCTGTCATTTTTCCAGTAGAATGTGGCATGGTGATCCTAGTGGTGTGGGTGGATGACGGGAAGCACAAAGCAGGACTCTACCTTCAAGCCTGAGAGGCATGACTTGCCCAGCTTCATCAGCTCCGTAAATTCCATGGTGTGAACAGCTTTCAGCATTGGGAAGTTCCAACAAGAGCAAAATGAAGAGATCATTCAACCCTGGCATTCTCCCTTTCTCCCTCCCTGTTCTTCATAGCCACAGTCAAGAAATCTTGGACTTTCTGCCAAATTATGATCTCCAGATTTACTCTTCCCCAAGAGATTCAGTGGAAATCAATCCTAATATTAACTGGGTGGTAGGTTTTGCACTTAAAAGTCCAGACACTATCTGTGAAATGAAGGTCCCAGTGAAACATGGCAGAGGGAAAAGGTTTCTGACATTTTTCCCTGACACTGGGAGAACTCCACAGATGAATGTGCTCTTTTCAGTCTCATCATACAGCATGTGAGAGAAAAATCCTACCATAGAACCTCCCAGGGTTTCCAGCCTCTCAGATGTGCTTTGCCTCAGAGAGGACGCCTTGACAGTAACAGATGTGATAACAAATGACCTTTAGAATTGCACCCTGAGAGCTGTTGACCGTTTCCTGAGAGCTGTTCATCCTCCTGAGCTCCTTGCTTTGGAAATCTTGAGATCCTGGCATACAACTAAAAAGGGTCAACAAGAGGAAAAAGAAAAACAGAGCATGAGACTTAGAACCAAATGAAAGCAAGAGCAAAAGCAGAGTACATACATATTTTAAGGATCTTCATTTGCTTAAAAGATGAAAATCACAAATCTGAATGCAATACCAAAACTCAGTATTATCATCATCCCCAAAGCAAGGGAAAAAATCTGAGATGAACACAAGCCTATCAAATGATAATACAGTAAAAATTGTGTTCAAAGATACTTTTTATTCCAATCCAAATTACACCAAATATGTAATGTTAAATAAGGCAATATTTGTATATTCCTGTGAGCGTGCTCAGATTTGCTGTGCAGCATATAAAACCATCTTTCCCAACAACAGCTTACCGGGTAAGTGGTGCACACAGGCAACAGTGCACCTAGGGAAGGACAGAGGAGGGAGAGGCTGTGCATGCAGGCTGTGTCCACAAGTGTGACAGAGGAAAACAGGAGATAGTTTATTTGTTCCTCTTGGACTTCACCAACTGCAGTGAAAACTTTCTCAGTACTGACTTCTTGTAAAGCTCCTTGAAATCAGGACTATGACCATATCCCATGACTAGCATGAGGCAAAAGTCACATTTCACCCATATGCTCACTTAGGTTTATGTTGATGACTTCAGGCTGTCTCAACTAAGTCTTCTCGGGGGGGGGGGGGGGGGGGGGGAAGGCTGGAAGAATTATAACTTGCTCACTGGCATTCCATTTTTTAGGCAAGTTTGGGAAAAAAATGGTCTTGCTAATACAATGATATGCTACGTCTCATTCATTGCCTGTGAGAGGCAGAGAAGAGAAACAGGGGAGGGGGAAGCAGGAGACAGAATGAGACAGAGAGGAGAAGCAGAAACAAAGATGCAGTATGTGGAGACAAAATGAAAGGAGGGATGACATCGGGGAATGTGCAAAAGATGCCTCTTCCTACATTTGTTGAAACACACAAGCTGTAAAACTGAAATGAAAAGCACAGGCAGGCTTATTCAGCTTTATCCTTTCAAGCAGTGAAATAATTTTCTCTCTGATTTTTTCCTTGTCAGTTCCTGTCCTGTCCTTGCAATGCCTTCTCCTTTCTCACTTGTCTTCTCTGCTTTTTCTTTTCAATGCCATCTTGCTTTGTTCCTTTTTCTTTGCTTCTGCTCGTTTCTTTCTTCATCTTCCTTTCTTCTCTTGCTCTCCCTTGTCTTTTTTGTCTTGTTCTTGCTCTCCCATGTGTTCCCTGAGCACATGAAGAACATGAGCACAAGTAGTGGAAACGCATTTTTTTTTCCTGATTCTCCTTTTCTATCCCCATGTGGTTTTGACTGCTGTAGCTCTGTTAGGTTTTAAATACACATGGGGAAGCCACTTGTACTCCCATGTGTTTTAGAACTATCTACAGTAGCCACTGCAGGAAAAACATGTGGGAAGGGAATGTGTCAGAAAAGTTTCTTGTACTCCCTCCAACACGTGGGCCACATTTAACAAGGTCAAGGGACAAGTGTGGCTCACAGGCATCAGTTTGACCAGTACTATAAAAAGGATCACGCGTTCTTCTTTGTTTTACCTGAACAGACTCTACAGTTAATCACTCAGCTGAACACAGCTTACGGAGTTTCAAATGATCTACTTTTATTTTTAGGCTAAATGATCAGCTGAATTTATTTTAGGAACAGATTATCATATATATTTTTTCCTGATTTGACAATTTCAAGATGATGAAGAATATAAATGTAACAAAGAAACCCTTTTCTTTTTTCCTCTTTGTCTTCCCTCCTGCATGAGAGCATCACGCATGCTGTGCCTGAGCAGACAAGGGTATGCCTGTTAAGCTGGCTGGCTGTTCCTAAGGCGGATACTTTCTGTCGAGAGTTCCTTCTGAACTTTCCTGCCACAAGACCAAATTCACACAAGTATCTGTGAACTGTTGGTTCGTGTTATGCACATTTTGACACCTTTCAGCTGGCTTTCACAGATTTTCAAAGCACCTGTTCCAATACAACCTGCCTTTTTGGCAGCAACCAGTACCAGTAAGCCCCTGATTTTCTTTCCTGCTCTGCTCAACCATTTCTAACAATGTACATGTCAAAAAGTATAATTAAATGAGAGGAGGAAAATGCTGTCCAGCTCTCCTAGATATCAGACCACACTTCCTACAGGAAAAAAATTGTTTGCATTGTTACAGAGACAAACTAAACCTTTCTTGCCTGTCACTCATTTCTTAGGGTCCAGCTCACTTGCAAGTGGGCTGTTTGCCATGTGAACAGATGGGCATGGGGCTCGACAGCCAAGAAATGATGGATCAAATTTTGAAATTTGTTGCTCACTCTCCACTCTAGTAGTTCCTAATTGGCCTCAATGGAACTTTATCACTGTAAAAAATGGTATAATGGCAACAACATTTGACTGAACAAATACACATCCTGTGTAGGTGCTGCAAGCAGGCTTCCTGGCTGACAAAACTAGAATGATGCCATCAGTGAATGTCTGTTATAGGCTGACGTAGCTCTATGAGGTTATCATGTTCCTATGTGAACATACAGTGTAGCTGAAGTGGAACATAAAACGCTTATTTTGAATGGTGGTCTAAGATAAAGATAAAGGCTTTTGTCTGAAAAGATCCTTTTAATAAATATAACCATTTGAACAAAGAATGGGTTCATTTATGTTTTATAATAAGCAGAAAGCAAGAGGCAGTAAGAATTTTTTTCAGCGATGCACTCATAATAATACATTGCCTAAAATTGTTATCAAATGTATATCAAATACTATTCAGGATTTAACATAGCAAATTGACCAAAATTAAATTATATTTCACTGCTACTAATAGATAAAGAAAATTCTTTTAGAAGAACATTGTTTCTCAGCTTTGTAAGTGCTGCTATGGCAGTATACAGTCACCTCAAATTCCTGTGTACTTAGTGAAAATATAAGATGTGAAACCAATGTAGACTTACCTTTGCATCTCATTGCTGCATCTGCAATCTGAAATATTACCAAAGAAATGTTCACTTTTCCTGTGAATTACAGACTTCTTATACATCTTCATATTGGTTGTACATAGCTTTTAATTTTAACTCTGTTATCTTTTTTGCTAGATCAACATTGTCTTACATTACCAGCAGTTGCAAGCCAGAACCTTAACATTTTGTTTATACTGTAACGGGAATTTCTTGCCTTGTGCCTCTTTCTTGGATACGTTTTGGCAAGTTACTGATGCATTTGCAAAACGTAGTTTAAGAGTTCTATGAGTGCACGATAGGAAGTGATGATGATCATAATTAGTGTTACCTTCAGAAACACACTGTAGTTTTTACAATATTGCACATACAGTACAAGTAGATACAATATTTTTATGAGCATCTACATAACACATTTCATGAATTATCTTAGGGTAAAAAAAAAAAAGGCAATTTCCTAGGGCCTCTTCCAATTTTTCTGTACTACCTCAGGCCCAGTGCTATTTGGTATGGGCAGATTAGGGTAGCTGATGATTCCCATTGATTTAAATGTCGTGCTAGGAAGCCTAAATCCCCAAGAGCAATAAAATCTCCCCTATCACTATCCTACTGCTTATTGACCTAATTCACTAACGAACCATCAGGGTTTTCTCTCACAACAAATAAATCTTGCATGAAACAGACAGTACATGGACACTTGTAATTTTCAGTCATCTTGCCAATAAAATAATCTTAGGGTATCTAGAATTTGTCTTAATTTTCTCAGATTGACCATAATGTCATTTGCCATTTAAATTGTGCAGAAACCACAACTGTATTTTTAATATCAAAACTATTTCTACAATCTGAAATAAACTTGTCATATAAATGATGCAGACAATTTGGCACATGTAAAATCACAGCAATGAATGCCCTGGTTTGTCTGTAAGATATTGCTGGAACGGCTGCTAAACAGGTCTATTGGTTGCAGCATTATAAACACTAGTTGCAATATTACTTAGACCCAGCCATTACTGCTCAAAATTCTGATCATTAGTAAACTTCCTCTGTCATTAATCGAGCCAAACAAATGAAGTCAGGGTTTGTTATGTTATTCAGAGTCTCACAGTCTTTTCAACAAAAACTTGTAGATTGGATTCTGCAGATGCCTGCATCTGTATTCACTCTTGGTGATTTTACTGAGTTGAGTAACACGTTTCTTTGCATGTAAAAACCAGGGGTCTAACCTAGTGGCTCTTTAAAATGTGACCATCACTAGATATGATATACATTCACCAAAAGAGAATAGAGAAAAGATACTATATTAAAAGAACCCCACAACTCCATACAGCTTTGATATGCAGATCTATTTCAGAGAAGAAGCCTAATTCTGCTCCTAGTAATGTTAATAAGAGCACCAGTAATGTCCTAAATTACTAGTCTTCTCATCAATATCCAGTTAAGCTTTTATCAATGTAATTTGAAGCAGTATTAAAAGTGATAAATGCTAATTCATAATTGTTGATATTATCTAAGCAAGATCATTTGCAACCATACGTAACTGTGCCAGATTTTTATCACATTATAAAGGTTAACATAAGTGTTACAAGAAACATCAATGAGCTACGCACACTACGTTTGCTTTTGGTTAGATAAGTATGCTTTGTAGTAGTTGATATTCCCTCTAGATAATGGATAGGGGCCAGATTCTCTGCTGACACAAAGCAATATAAGTAAGTTGAAGGCGGATATGCTGATTTACACTAGCTCCAGATCTCACTATAATATCTTTAGATGCAATAAACCATCTTAAATAAGTCTGTTTCCTAACTATTACTCAGCCATTCCTCACTATTGCCAAAAGGGAACTGTGAATGCCAAGGTCTGCAGGATTTTATTTATCAAAGCTTCTTTTAAGGCATCTATCATTTTGGCATGCAAGCCTTGCTTTATGATCAGAATCAAACGTGGTCATGAAACAGCAGGATTAATTCAAGAAAAAAAAAAGGAAAAGCCACGTAGTGCTCGTTCTTCTTATAATGTCTGTTCCAACTAGTTTGGGTTTTTTTTTAATGAAAACTGCATATTAAGTTAGAAGATTTAAGTACTTTTGCTGCTTGGTACTGCTGAACTGTATAAAGAGAATTAAAAATGTTATACCATACATCTGTTTAAATAACTGGATTACTGATAACTTGTTGTTTGTATTTCTGTATTTATCTACCTTGATAAGAAGCTACGTGCAGAGCTAAGAAAATCACATTTCTATTTGTTATATAAAAATAAAATTATTTTACCAATTAAGTGCTACACTAAATAACATTTTAGTGTCTGGACATTAAACATCTGGAGACAAATAGTACGTAAAACATGCAGCCTAATTTTCCTTTGAGGTTTTTCTGTTTTTGCTTACATTTGCTGAATGTCAGCTTATAATAATTACTGCTCTATACACATCTGTAGCACTAATGTGACAGACTGTGAATGCTTCTTGACAATCGAGCATAATATCCTCCTTACAGGCTTCCACCAGCAAGGCTACAGTCTTAACCATAGAGTATATAAACATGTAAAAAGACTTGCTTAAAACATTGACAAATTCCAAATGTGTTTGGTTTACTGTTTAAAAGCAAATGCAGATTAGACATTTGGCAATAAATCTTAAAAAAATAAGCCTAAATGTACAGATCATTTGAAAAGTAGCAACAATTTCCATTTAAAAGCTGCTACCAAAAAATGCTGCTTGCAAAGACAGAATACCAATATAATAGCTAAAAAGTATTTCATAGGGTTTTTTTTCTTGTGAGCATAACAAACTGTGTTCATCTGTGACACAGGACTAGACATGGAATTACAGTAGTAGCTCCACTAAAGCAGCAGGAATCTTTGTATTTCTCCATCCGACATTGAAGGCGGCATCTTTTATGCTGTAGGCCTCGTTTGTAAATCTCTACGAATTCAGTTAAAGACACTAGAGTTTTATCTTAAGAAGGAGCCAACACATTATGAACTGCATAGCTTTATTTCCCTGGGAGAGAAAGAGAATGACTAGAAATTTACTAGATAGAGGACTTTCACTTAATTAGAAGGACTTTAACATATGTTAAAATACACAGAAAAACAAAGCTTCTATCCTGGAGGATGTACTATCCAGTACATTGTAGTGACGCTTGCATGCTGAAACCCTTACATCCTTTTATTACTCAGGTTTTTGTGTGATCTTGGACATAAAGTTTACAAATTCTCCCTGTGATTTTTCTTTTTATTTGACAAGATAAAATAAAGTAAAATATAAATATTATTTTTAGAGTTCTGACGTATGTTTTAGCAACATAAGGGGAAAATGAGCTTTTATAATATGCAAGATTTTCCTGAATCGATAGAGGAGCAATGATGTTTTAAACAAGTGGTACTTCTCTAGTTGCCTGTGTTCCTGAGTACTTAAATAAGGACTGAAATAGTAATAGCTTGAAAATGTATAATTTAAATGTGAAAGCTCTACTTTTCTAATTTCTGTTTACGGCCTAAGAATATGTGGCTTTTCTCATGAATGAGGGGAAATTTGGAAGACTAAGTTTTGACAAATAGAAGATAAAAATCAAATCTGAATAAAGCTGACCAAAAGGTAAATATATAAGTTCCTCTTTTTTAATAAATTAATGTCACTTAATTCCAAAAATACTACCTAGTAGCAAAAATGTTTTTCAGGTTAAACAGAATAAAAGATATTAAATACCTGAACAAAAATGTATTTAGCTGCTATAGGTTTTACCTTACTGAAATAAGCCAAGAGCATTCACATATTTAATTAAAAAGCTAATTCTCTTCACTGTTAATCAGAACTGTCTGTGAACAAGGTATATTTTATTGAAAAGTGCTTGTCTGTAACCAAACAATGCATTTATTGAAATTAATACATACCAAAAAAAATCTGTAAGTATTTTTCAAAATATGTGACAACTACTGCACTCTTACCAGACAGGAGGGCTACCTACAGAAATAGTTCCAAATAAATAGTCCACATAATAGCTTGGTTCAAGGTGGTATTTTATTTACCATATTCATGTATTTTTGTGCCTATGACGTGAGAGAAATTTTCTTACCTGCTTCAAACATTTTATGCAGTAGAATATATTTTATAATAAAGAAGACTCTATTTGACTTAAAAGTTGTAGGGATGCTCCATTAATGTGTGTATGAATCTCCTGGAAGTCAGTAGTAATTCTGCAGAAAATTGATGCTAGATTATCATCTCAAATCACTCTCTTCAGCCTCTGTGAAGAGCAATACATGGAAGAAAAATTGCTAATCTGAGACTTTTCAGAAATAGTGATGCCATTCTTAGATTTCATGAATTAGTCCCCTGGACTCGCTAGGTGATTCCCCTTCATTTAGAACAGTTGCATTATTTTGTCTTGACTAACAAAGCGCAAGCTGTAAAAGATACTAGCCTGCATGGAGCAAGATAGTTTGTTTCCCTGATTAATTAATTAATATTCAAGTATTAATGCATTTCCTTCATCACTTCTTCATGCAATATACAGCTTAGCATATCTTGGAATGAACAGGGTTTTAAAATGTGCATACACTATGCACAAGTAGTAAAATCTGAGAGTAACCTGACAGCCTCAATCCATGTTACGTCCTTCCTGGAGGGAAAAAGAGAGAAAGAAGAAAAGTCAGGCTGAGAGGCTGGGTAAGGGAACTGAAAATATAAATTTTGTGATATAAACTAGTTAAACATACATAATCTTGCAATGAATCTTTAGCAGTTGTTTTGCCTTTAAAACAACTAGATTTTAATTTATAGATTTCAATATGCTATAAAGAGTAAGGGGTGTTGAAGAAAAAATCTCCATAACATGCGATCATGCTCTATGTGTACATTTCTAACTTTTTGGGGGTGACTATCCTTTTGCCTTAGTATTTTTACCTTTGTAATTCTACAGCTCAGAGCTTTGTCTTCTCCTCCATTTTATGCTTTTTCTTCTCCATTTTATGCTGCTTTTTCTTAGGTATGATGTCTATATTTGACAACCATACCAAAAAATAGAGAAAGCCTTATTTTGTCAACCCATCTGCCTGTTGCCATGCCTTTCTTGTTTCTGGCAAAACAAAACCAACCAGGGCTTCTGACAGCCAGAACCTTCAAGCTCAGAGATCACCAATTCAGTGGTATTAAGTTTTATGCTGAAGTTTCAGGCCAGTGTTATTACTCCAGATTACACCCCAAAAATCTAAGCATTTGTTCTTCACAGTATCATAAGGTCTAATATTGTACATACACACTGTGTTAGAATTAAGGGCCTGATCCTGTGCACCAGCATGATTTTCCTTTTGACCTTGACTTGAGCAGAATTGAGACCTAGGTATACAAAAGCATGTTTTTACAACAGTGTCCAGACAAGCCATGATGCCAGGAAACGGGGAAGGTAGAATCACCTGTCTGCTGTGTTCTGCATCTGGGCCAAGTGGGCAGCTGGATGTGCGTAACAGAACTATATTAATATCACAAAAAGTAAAAAAGAAAAAAACCACAACAGTGGTGATCTCAAATATAGCATGATTCATATAAACATAAAATGTGATGAGGTGAGATGTGACAAAGTCTAATCGTACCCTTCCTGCTGCAACCCAAACTTGAACTGGCTTCCAAAGACAGGCTGAGCTCTTAGATGACTGATTGTAATTAGTGAGAGCTGTGGATACATATGCAAAGATTCCTAACAGCTTTTTGATTAAATCAGCTACCACCCAATCACCATGAATAGTTCAGGTGAAATGAAATGTGTGTTTGTTCAAAGCTCATTTCTAGGAAGGAGTGTGGTCCTCTGACAGCATCATCAACCTGCAAATGGATTGCAGCACAGATCGGCACATGATTGAAAGATCAGGCTACACTCGCTATTTTACATGAAGGTACCCTGGAATATGCTTTGTAAGTACTGCTCTCTGCGATCTATTTAAGTCAATTAACATTAAACATTTACAGGGGGAAATGTTTTGTTTTCCTATTATTTGACATATTTGGCAATCATTTGCAAGGTTGGTTGGCTTTGCACTTTCTGTTGTCTGATATGTGTCCGTAGTGGGAAAAAATGGCACTATATAGATGTTATGCTAAAATCATGAATCTGGCAGAGGCCTTTAGCTTTTACTCATTTTTAATAGACTGAGCAGCTCTCAATATTGAATTCCCCGTTAAGAAATATACAGTAGAAGCATTTGCCCAATAAAGAAAACCAGATTACACAGTAATGTTCTTGTCCATCCAGAATAGCCAAGTGCAAATAAAAAGGTGAGATGTAAAATATTTTGTATACTTCAGCTTCAAATATTGTATACGTCATGACAATAGTAAGGCCTTTACCTATGTTTTATTAGATCAGTCCTAACTTGGTCCTTAGCTAACATCTAAACACCTACCATGCCATTACCTACAGGTAACATTAACTTCTTTTGAGAACCGTGACAACGTTTCAATGTGTAAAAAAACAAAGCGGAAACGCAACAGGTTAACATCTCGCGTTAGGACTTAACTTGCTTAAGGTGGAAATGTTTTTAGATAGCATTTGTAGGTCTTTGCTGTATCACCACAAAGGTGAAGGCTGTTATTATCTTTCACTATTTTATGGGCATTAAAAAATGTGGAAAGCCTCTACCAAAACACTACAGCAATATTAGTTATGACATTACCTTGATTCTAAGCTCAAAATTCAGCTGCCCGTAACTACAGGCAAAAAGTGATAAAGTGGTTTTGTACACAGATCTATAAAAATGAGAGGGGACAGGACAGGGAAATACCTTGCAACAGGTAGACACGTCCAAAGCAAAATAACCCATGGGTAAAGGCATCGGATTCTATTCCTGACGTTTTCAGCTGGTAGATGAAAACGTATAGCCTGAATTTGGGGATTTCAGAGCATTAAAGACGCATTCCCCATATAAGCACTTTTGGGATTTCATGATATAGAGGCACTTGAAAGATTTATCCAGAAATAAACCCCTTAGAATGGAGGGGAACCAGCGGGAAGCGAGAGGAACCGGCGATCGTCGACGGTCCCCGACGATTGGCGCCTCCTGCCGCTCACCCCCCCCCCCCTCCACCTCCCCCCCCCCGCCTCCGTCAGAGGCGGCAGCGGCGGCTCCGCCTCGTGGCGGCGATCAGCTGCGCGCGCGTCACGTGGCCGCGTGTCGAAGGTCACGGCGCCCACAATGGAGCTGTCGGCGTACGCGCAGGGAGGGTGGCGGCTGCTGGGCGACCCCCGGCGCTTCCCCCGCCGCTCTTACGCCGCTCTGCTCCGCGCCGCCTTCCGCAGCCTCCTCCTAGGGCACTCCCAGGAAGGGTTGGGTAAGGCGCGGGGACGCGCGGCGGTGTCGTGGCGGGCCGCGGAGCTGCGCGGAGCGCGCAAGGCAGCGCGCTGTGTTCCGCGGCATACACACGGGTGTCTGTGCTGTGAGGTATCCCGTCGCTCGGCACATAGGCACGGGGGGAGTCGCCCTTGAACGGCTCCAGGGTGCCGCTGCGCGGGTGTCATCGCTAATGCGCGTACACTTCGGTAAAGATTAAACCTGTCGACCTTAAATCTCCCGACGGGGGGGGGAGGTCCCGGACGGGGTCCCCCGCGTACTCGTGTTCGTGAAGCAGGGCATAGAGGTGGTTTTCCGCCGGCGCTCCGTTCCGCCCGTGTTTTATTTCGTGCGTAGACCCTTCCTACGGCCACCCCGCCTTGGGGGTACGCGGTCGGGCAATTAATGTTGCGGTGTTAATGATATCGCGGCCGGAGGGAGGGATGTGGTGGTGCGGCCGGGGCCGGCCGGCAGCCCCCGTGCCCCGCCTGGCCGGGGGCTCCGACTCCGCTGCTCGCCTTTGGCGACAGGCTTCGGAGAGGACCTGGCTCAGGAGGGAGGAAATTGAGGTTTTCCTCTTTTTTATCCTGTTTTTTAGCGCTTTTTTTTTTTTTTTTTTTAATGCAAAGTTGATACCGAGGCGGCGGGGCGTGCAGCGCCGGTCAGCCCCGCCTGGCACGGCTTGCACCAGCCAGTGCTTCAGCCCCTCTCTTCCTCCTCCTCGCACTTTGCCTACTTGCTCTGCCCTTTTGGTCCAAGCCCCCACATGTGTTCCGTTTTAAAAGTTTTGCGGGAAAGGTACCGTTCAAAAGGCGAGCAGCAGCTCATGGTACCGTGTGCTGGGATTTGGCATTTAAGTGTGTCGTCAGTAATTCATTTGCTTTAGGCGATCCGGACCTGAAAGATATTGACCCCACGATATTAAAACATTGCCATGCTGCGGCTGCCATGTGTATTCTGGAGGCAGGAAAGCAGAAAGCCGACATATCTGCTATAAGGTACTCATACTTCAAAGCTACCCCCTGTTTCTAGCGGTTGTTACTTTAAACTGGGCTGCTGAGCTACTGTTAACAGAAAACTAATAAATTCTTTTTCCCTCTAGCACATGTCTAGAAGACTGTAAACTGGATAAAGAGAGAATAGAACAGTTTTGCACCGAATATCAGGTTTTAAAACAAATTTTAATATGTTTATGTTTTCTTTCACTCATATGAATTTATTGAGCAATTTTTTTTAATTATTTTTTTTTTTTTTCCAGAAAAACAAGGATGCATTGGAAATCCTGTTGGGAAGGTAGGTCAGTCAGTCAGCACAGATACATAGTTGCAATTACAGCTACTTTGAAACTGTCCTGGAAAACACCTGTACATGCTTTAGGTGATTGAAGTCAGAAATACTGTTCCATTAAAAAAGAAATAAATTTCACATTTTTAACAAACTTTAGCAAAGAGCTCTTGAAACTTTTACTCTTCTTTTCATAATTCTGCTATTAAGAAAACTTTTTGAACTTCTCGAGAAGTATTACAAGGATGGTGAAAAAGTTCTTTATTGATAGACAGTTTGAGAAAGTGCCATTCTCTTGTAGTGTAGGGAGCTTGTAACTGTTGTGTCTTTCAGCATAGGCAGATCTCCTCTCCATATAACTGATGTGTCTTGGCGCTTGGAATATCAGATCAAGGTAATTTGAACACATTGAGGGGTTTCTTTAGTCTGTTTCTGTGCTGTGACCTGACTTTTTCCTGTGTTCTTTGGCCTTAATTTAGAACAATCAACTTCATAAAACTTACCAGCCTTCCTACTTGGTGACCTTAAACGTAGAGGAGGTACTGTACCCCCAGCACCCTCAGGGGAAAAATGCAATTTCACTGTATTTTTTTTTTTAAACAGGCATTGTTGTTTGTTGGTTGTTTTTTTTCTTCAGAACAGTGATTCAGGATCACACCCAGATGTTAGCTTTAGTTGCACAATGGAGCAGTTACAGGTACTTCTTTCCTTCATCATTGTTTCTGTACTTGGCTTTAGTTGTGGATGTAAATGTTTTTAATAACTTGCCTAAGTGAAATAATATATATTATTATTAAAAAAAAAAAATCTATATCCAGTACCAGGAGAGGAGAATCTTCTATTAAAATTATCCAAGTATAGTTTTCTTGTCTTCTCAAATAAAGTTGCAGAGTAACTGATTCTAGTTGTGTGGGGAGTGTTTTACATGTGTGCATAAATATCTTGTCTGTTTTCATAACTTATATGTTCTTAAAAGTTTTATATATATATAAGTTATATATACACACATAATTTTTCTGAAACTGATTTCTCATGCTTTGGATAAATGATTAAGGAAGCTGGATCAGTGGTTTAAATGTGGCACGATTGAAAGTAGAGAACCAACTGAAGGCTCTTCAGTGGTGTAAATGACATGTAAGAAATGTCCTGAAACAAATGTTGATCTTTGTGTAGCGATTTAAATGTGTAACTGAACAATGGAGGTATTGTAATGCTTGGAAGTGACCAAACTGTGGAGGGTTGGGAAGAGGGCTTGGTCAGGGGGAAGAAAAAGTGAGATATTAAAACTTAAGGTTTACACCTCTACTTTTTCAATGTATGTCTCAAAAGTTGTCCTTGTCTTCCTAATGGGTGTTTTTGGTCGGTTGCTGGCTTAGGTAAATCTGAGGTGCTTTGGCTGAGGAATGGTCCTAATACAAAATTGCACTCAAAATATTTTCAGTGTTTTAGAGATGTCTGTAGTACTTCAAAGCACAAAGCAAAGTCAGCTCAGCCATCCTAAGGGCACTGAGGAAATCTTTGTGTTGAGAATAGTGATCAGTTTCAGTAGATTATACACATTAAAAGGTGTGTTCCTCCAATTCCTGCTTTTCTTCCTTCATGGTAAAATAGGGAGCTGTTTAATGGCTTGCTGGCATTGTTCATCAGTTGCAGCATTTCTTTGTGATATAAGGTGCCGGTTTCCTTGCCTCTCTCTGTCTCTGTATATATATAAATACTATGTTCCTTTAGTTGACCTTTTAACAAAAAAAAAAATGTTCTAAGGCGGTGTTTCATCTCTTAGGATTTAGTTGGAAAACTAAAAGATGCTGCAAAAAGTCTGGAAAGAGCGTCTCAGATGTGACTGAAGGAAGGTGCCAGCCCACTGAGTTGAAGTGCTCTCACTCCTACTCTCATTCCTAGGAGTATCTTCTAAATGACAAATGGCTTTCATCTCTTGATGCAAAGTCTTCCTTTTTTTCCTTTTTTTTTCCTTTTTTTTCCTTTTTTTTTTTTTTTTAAGTCCTTGGACATGAATTAATTGAAATATCTGGGGTTTTATGACCGCACTTGGTATTCCTTGGTTGGCTCAATTTTTTTTTATTAACTCGTATTAAATATTTGCCTACATGACATGTCTTCAAGGCATTCCTTCCCTTTCATTTTGTATATTTTTTAGAATGGTCACTGATTATTCTTTAGGCTCTAATAAAGTTTATTCGCTCCTGTTCTTCATGCTCTGCGGGTGAATGAGCTGTACCTAACAGTAAGGTGCTAAGCGTTAGACCGGCTCTGTGAGCCCAAAGTCTCGTCCCCCCTTGCCGCTACCGCGGCGCGGTTGCTCCGTTGTCCACAGCGTTTTGTCAGTTCTCCCCAGCCAGTCTTGAATCCTCTGCAAGAGCGGCGGCTGTACCGGTAACGGAGGCAAGAAGGGCTGTGGAAGCTGCCTGCGGAGCCGGGGCACCCTACGAAAAGCCGCAGCCCGAAGGATCGAGCGGAGCCGGCTGTCGGCTCCAGCCCGACGGCGTCTTCCCGCCCTCGCGGGGCCGCTCCGCGCCCGCCGGCGGGACCGCTGCCGTCCTCTACCGCTCGCCTTGGGCTGCCCCGGCGCCGGTGCCCGCTGCGGAGCACGCCCGCACCTGCAGGCGGGGGCACAGCTGCCCCGAGGAAGAAACGCGGTGGCGGACGGGCCCTCGCCCTGCCGCGGCGCCCGGCGTAGAGCTGGGTTCTTCCCGCCCCGCTGCGCCTCTCCCGGGCTGCGGGCGGCGTCTTTTCCGCGGCGGCGGAGAGCACCAGCGACGGTTTCCCCGCTTCCCTCCCGCCCACTGCGGTGGAAGCACCCGGTGCTCCCCGTCTGCCGGAGGGGGGGAACACCCCGGGTGCCCGCGACAGCCGCTGCGCCGCCGCTCGGGGAAAGGAAGCCTCGGCAGCGGCCCCGAGGGGTCGCGTCGCCCCGACGCCGGCGGCCCCGCAGAGTCCCGGGGCCGCGTGCTGCCGAAGAGCAGCGCTCACGCGGCGGCGGGGGCGCGAGGCCGAGGCGCGGTGCCCCGCGGGGGCCTCGGTCCGGGGCGTGCGGGACGTAACAAGTGCTGGGTGGGGGGCGAGGGCGGCGTGCGGGAACGGCGAGTGTGCGGGCAGAGGGGCTGCGGCGAGGCGAGGATGGAGAGGGCAGCGCCGGGCGGGGTGGGGGACGCACCACGTCGGGTGCGGAGAGCGACGGGGGGGGGTGGTTTAGGCGCGGGACCTGTGGGGCAGCTCGGAGGGGAGCGATGGGCGGTGAGGGCGCGGACAGGCAGCGGAGGAGCTGAAAGGGATCGGCGGTGCGGGCGGAGGGAGCGCGGGGAAGGAGGCACCGGGCTGCTGCGGGAGGGGGGAGAGGGGAGAG